GAATCTATTACACCAAAACTTTCAGAAGTGCCAATTACCTTACTGGACAAGGCGTTTTGTTAACAGTAGTATTTACTATTAATTTTATTATTATTATTATTTTAGAAACATTACGCAAATGGCCAATAGTAGCAGCCTTTCCAAGAACCTGCACCAAAGACTACGAGTTGCCTCCATTTGAAGGAGGCCCCAAAAGGGCAATCGGAATAAAAGAGGAGACTCTGTACATGTAGCTATTGGATCATTCCACAAGTACAATAATTAATACATTATATAATCTGTACCAAATATCAATTAATAAATTATTTTATGGATGGTTTCCTAGGGATCCGCAGTACTTCTCCAATCCTGATAAATTTGATCCATCAAGATTTTTTGAAGGTTCTGCAGAAACTTTTACGAAAGATGCTTTTTTCCCATGGGGGGCAGGACCAAGGTAAATAAGTAATTGATTTTGTAGGTAAATTATAGGCAAAATTGTGCAGGTTGGAATAGTGGTCACAGATTAGAACTAAAGATTCTTTGTTGATCATAAAGTTCAGAAAAAAAGAAAATGAATTGGGTTCATAATTGAAAATTAAAAGAATTGGAGAATAAATAAAATTGTCATCATAGACCACAAAAAGTAGTTTTTATCAAAATTTAAAACCTGCTTTAAGTCAAAGCTTGTATTATCATCTAGGAATGAAGTACTCATGAAAAACTTCTAAATAAGAGTAGTTACCATTAAAGTTCACGACCAGCTTTTGATCAAAGATTTTTATTACTATGGAATGAAGTAGTCATCATAGAAAACATCTAAAAAAGTAGTTTCCATTAAAATTTACCTCCGTGATTTTAAAAGTGTTAAAAAATTCAATCAAAGCTTTGCAAATCACCATTGGTCCTCATTCTATTATGTTTTTAGACTTTGCCTAGGCCAAAGATTTGCCTTCTTGCAAATCAAGACGAGTGTAATGGCAGTCGTGAGATCTTTCAAATTGAAAATTTCTGAAGGGAAGGATGCAGACCCTAAATTAGACCCTAGGAGCTTCATGCCAAGACTGGTTGGTGGTGCGTGGATTACTTATACACCGAGATAAAAGATGACTAATGGATTTAGGGCTTGAAAATTAATTTACTTTGTATTTATTTATACACAGCATATTCCATATAAATAAAGTATATAAAACCCATCCAAGTTGTTTTACAAAATCTTACAATCGCCAAATATAAAATACTAACCCAATATCATTTACCATTTACCATTTACCAAATCAGGAAATCGTGTCTCATATTGTGCAAATTAAATTCCTCGATCCATGTCAGTAACAGACTTACTTTTAAAATCACCTTTTAAAAATTGTAAACAAATCACTTTCGTTCGGCAAACATTTATTTCGGTCAGTGGGTGATGGAAATATTCAAGATTGCACCGATTATTATATAACGACGAGACGACAACTCCGAAAACTTGAATCGTAAAATTTAAGTAATTATTAAAACCGTATTAAGGTGTTTTCGCTTCGGGCTGTCGTTTGATAATGAAATTCGAATTACTCAATCGAACAGGTTTAAAGGAAATGAAATTTGGAAGGTGATAAAGAAATTGGAGGTGACATCTGTTGGAGATGGACAAAGTAGTATTGGGAGATGATTGGATGCTGAGATAAATATTGATGAATTTATCTAGCAAACATATATACTGTTGACTGTATCTTATATTATTTTAATTTCTGGCACATCTCAGCTGCTTTTCGGCAATAATAATGTAGACATTGCATTTTTCTTAAATATTACATTCTAATATTATCTAGGCTCATAATTTCAGCTAAATTCAAATTTCAAGTGAGTTGACATTTCTAGCAGATGAAAGTTCAAATGTTCTCAATGTCAAAAAATGATAAGTGGTTTTTTGTAATTTTTGCCATTTATTTGTACAATATTACTATAGTTTTATCTTTCATTAAATCTTAAAAATTTCCTTTGATAAACTCTAAAAAGAATTATCAAAATCCGAATAACCGTTTAGGAGAAGTATCACATCATACACCCGTACAGAAGAATTTTATATATAAGATGTAAATTTTAGATTTTTTGCATCCAAATTATCAAATAAAAAGCAATAAATAATTTAACAATTTTTCATATACGTTTCGACACTATATGCGTGTCATCATTCAGCATGTTAACGATTCAAGTCGGAGAAAAAACAGAACAGGCAAATTTAAGAACATTTTTCAATGAAAAAATCAAAACTTTGTATATAATAAAATAATAATATAAAAATGAATAATAAAATAAGTTATTATTCACATGATAATCAAATTGCCTAAAATATAATAAAATTTACTATTGCCGGTGAGACAAAAATAGATTTTTTTTAAATAATAAAAATATGTATGATATATAAATAATATATATTTATAATTATATATATTATAATAAATATATAATTAACAAAAAATGGTTATTGTTTTTTCTGGTGTGGTATGTATCAGTTTTTTACTTGTCATTTTATCTTTTAATCTATAATATATTTTAAATTTAAAATTTTTTTTTTTTTAAACTTTGTTAAAATTCTTTTAGATACTGTATAACCAAAATTTCAAAAAGGGTTGCTGAATGATGACACGCAATTCGTGTCGAAACGTATAAATTAATATTTTATTATTAATTGTTTTCTTTTATTTTGACGATTGCCTGAAATTGTGAAATTGTGCCCCATGAAATCATTATTAGAAATATTTAGTAATGTTTAGTTCTAGCTATTATTAAAAAAACAATTAATGAGCAAAAAACAATTTTTGGATCAAAATTTGATAAAAATGATCAAAGAATCAGATTATATCGCCAGCGAAAAAGTAAAAAAATACCATCAGTCAATGAATGTATGTTCATTTTAATTACATAAAGTTCTTCAAACACAATTATTACATGATGAATGAAGTTGCGAAAAAAATATTTGTTTAGGCGTTGTTTAACATAATCCACTGTGTGAAAAAATATTATAGAATTTATTAATCAGCAATTACTTCATTTCTCTAATAAAGGTTTTTTTCTAAATGCTAATTACAATGACAAACCGATCATGTCGTATTTGAAATATGACTTTAATTACATTATTGTTTTTAAATATTATACACATTCTTAATGCTATATTATATATATATATATATAATATATAATTTATAATTTATCATTATATAAATGTGTATAATGGTTGACACTAATAAATGCGTGCATCACGAGTGTTACCATATTACTAATAAACATTATTCAAAATTGTTATATGATGAATTTATTTTTACTTAACTGCCATCTTGAACAATAGCATATAAGTTTTACTTCAATTGCGTGTGAACCTTACGCGCACTCTTTTTTTAACATGACGTCTTGATTAATTTATGTTCTCAACAAATTCTTAAACTATATATTTCATATGTATATGTATATTGTTACTAAATATACAAATCATTTAAATTTTTTTATATGTGCGAGTTCGTCAAGAAACTAGCAATCATAAATGGGATCGCGAAGATCAAAAGTTTAGAAACCCTGGTCTATAATTATATTTTAAAACTAGCATGGATTTCAGGCATTTTTTACACCTTGTAGTGGTTTCATTTGCCTGTTCATCAGGCTTATTTCTATCCCAATTCAGGCATATACCTAGACTAGGCTATCCCCTCCCAGGTGCTCTATGGCATACCGTTCCCTATCAGGTACATCGAAAACTTTATCAAAAACAGTTTATGTTCGAATTTCGAACCGCGCGCGTCGTCATGGTAAAATTAAATGTAAAAAAATTAAATGAAATAAAATAAATGTATAGTGAGATAAATTCTAGATTTTAAAGATAAATTTACAATTTTAGTGTATTAAATAATTTTATATAATATTAATATACAGTGGTTTTAGTTATTAGAAATTATAAATTAATTTAGTCGAGATTTAAAACTTTTGGTATGTGTTGTGTTTGATTTAATTGAAAAAACAATACAAGAGGAATAATTGTTGCTCTTTTTGCAGAGTCAGGTATGTTTATAAATTTTATATTTTATAATTTATAAATATATGTATATATATAGTTTTGGGTAAAATATTGTTAATAACATTTAGAATAATTAATATATCAATATTATATAATATTTTTTCATATATATATATTATTTGTATTGATATTATTAATTTCTTATGAAATTTATTACTTGTGAGAAAAATCAAAGAAAAATAAATAGTGTTAAATAAAACCTATTATTAAATTATAATAATTAAAATATATAGAATACCTATTTACATTTTCAACTAGGGATCACTTTTAGCTTGAAAGAAAAATTAAGTGTGTTCTCATCCCAGATTAAAAATTAATTTTTCAGTAAAAATTAATTTCCAAGCAGTTATTTGGCTCACTAGTTTGTTTATATTTTTCATAATTTATAATTATGTTATTCCGAACCGAAGACAAAATTAGATTTTACTGTTTTTGTAAAAAGTACTATTTCAATTTAGAACTATTTTTATCATTTGATTTTTTAAGAATAATGTGCAATATAATATATTTTATATTGCACATTTTATATATTAAAAAAATTTACTTATCGATTATTTTGCATCATTTTAATTAAACAGTCCACTATTAAAAAATAAGTACAATAATACGCAGTAAATAAAACTATATGTGGCCCTATTAATTTTCAACATTAAATAGTATACATTTAAAAATAATCTGTTTTTTTTTCATAATAAAATTTATAATAAAGTCAAAATTAGATCTTTTTCTGTTTATAATAAGTACTATTTTTTAAAATCTATTTTCTTTATTTGATTTTTTAAGTAAAATATGCATTTTAATTTTTTGATAAAACAATTTTACTGTCGATTATTTTGCGTTAAAATTTATTTTTTATTGTTTAGTATTGAAAAATACAAATAATAAAATGTAGTAAATGCAATTGAATAATGAATATAATATATAAATATAATCTTAATATTTTAATCAAATTCTATGTGGCCATATTAGTTTTCAACATTAAATAGTAAATGTATTACATATTTAAAAATAATTTAATTTTAATATGTTTCATTCGTAATGAAATATTATTATATTGAATTTTGAATACAAATTTAATATATTCCAAGAACAATCAATTTAATATAAGAAAATATAGAAAACTATATAATGTTGTACACGATTTGAAATTATTTGGCAAATTAGAATATAAAATTCTAGAACACTTAATTAAATCAATTATTTCATAGATCATTTTAAATATATGCAATTTTTATATCAAATATTCAATTTGAAAATTTCATATATTTTATATCATATTATGCAATTTTAATATTTCACATATACAATTTTTATCGATTTATGAATTTTACAATTATTATTTAATATATAATATACCGATAAAATTCCCAAAATCTATTTTTAATTAAGAACCAAATAAGTGAAATAATTTTAAAAAATTGAGTTTTATTAAAGGCTAATTCGTAACTATATTTTATTTCTACGATATTAAATTTCTATTCTTTAAATTATGAATTAAATAAATATATAAATTATATTTATTATTTCTTTCAATTACTTTGCTCTCAAACTGTCACGAAAGAATTTAATTATATATTATTCGGTGTACTATTATTGAATTTAACAAGCGGAAAAATAATTTAGCAGATTGATATATCACCATGAACTAATTTTTTTAATAAAATATTGTTAAATATATCACAGTGGTTTAAATTTTCAGAATATTATTCAAAAAAAACTTAGTTAAACTTAGACTTAGAACATTTTCTATATATTTTTCCCTTGCAATATTTTTCTGCAAATAGCAATTTTTTCTGAAGATGATACAAATTTATAAAAATTTTAACGTAAAAAATAATCAGCTCACGTTACCCGTTTTTTTTTGTTTATTTGCTGGATATCAATATCCTCTCTTCAGAGAAGATTAAATAAGTTTCTTCCAGTTTCCGTCTCTTGCATAGATAATTCTCTCACGTTTTTTCGCAATTTTACACTTTATTTATAAAACCAATTAATGCGATTTCCAATTGATATTTTTTAACATTTAATATATGCAATTTCATTAATTTTAGTACATTATATGCCCTAAACGCTCTGATCATTATTCTAATCTTTAATGAAATTTTATGGCTCAACTATAGGACTACAAATGTTTTGAAATATCCATTAAGACTATAATATTTGTTATATAAACTCTGTGGCTAAGAAAATGTTTAATAATTAATTTCAAAATGGCCCAACCAATCTTTAGCAAAAACTAATCAGCATGAGTTAAAATTTAAACGGTTTTTAAATTTTCAAAATTGGTTCAATACTTTTGTATCGAATCATACTACTGTCAAAAAAGTGCGAAAATAAATAAAATTAAATAATACTACATATTTGCCCTTTGAGAAATATAATGTTTAATAAATAAATTAATTAATTAATTAATTAATTAATTAATGAAATTAATTTTGCAAAATTTTGTGTGTTTATGAGCTTCTACGTTCTTCAGAAGAAATTTAAGACTTTTTCCGCGAATTGTTTAAGCAAATATTAAAGAGACATGTGTCTAATGTTTATTTAAATATTAAATTATTTATTGTGCAAATACATGCCGTATAAAAATACTTGTCATGAGCCTCAAATAAACAAATTAATTTCTTTTTTTGTCGAGTATTTTAAAAATATTTGAAAAACAGTTTCTGGACAAAACCATTAGCTTCAAACATTCAGAACAATAAAAAATATTTAATGAAATTGTTTTCTGACAAATCGAAAATGCATAGAATATTATTGATAAATAACAAGAATTGTATCGATTTGAATTCAAACTAGTTATTTTTTTTAACAAAGCTGAGGAAAATTATTTATAATGCAGTATTGTAATTTTACTGCATTGCTTCTTCATTGAAGAAATAATAAAACGTAATTTTTAATTTAAAATTAGTCAATTTTGTCAGTTGAAAACTATATACTACAGTTTTTCGAAAAAAAAAAACAGGAATGTATTATTAACTTTTCCTAAATTGAAATATAGCTCATATAATAATTGAAATATTTTTGGGATATTTATTCAAAGCTTTTGGCTGTACTAGAACAATATTTTTGTCAACAAACTTAGAAAATGGTACAAACCCTAATTTATTATTTAATAAAATAATGCAATATTTATACACAAATTATTATTATAATTTTAACTATTTTTTATTAAATCTGTTTCAAATTTTTGGTTCTAAAATGGACATTGACTATTAAATCAAATAGATCCTGTCACATTCTAAATAGATAGAGATACAAACGAATGTTAACAATTTATAAAATTATTAACAGAACAAGATTCACCACTAAGAAATTAGAAAAATTGAGAAGAAAAACAATATGACTTTTAATTTCTCTAAAATGTTAGACATGGTGATATTAATATTTTGACTTAAAATTTTCCAAATGTTTCCATTTCCACCCTTTGGTTCCAAAATAGACATTGACTATTAAATCAAATATATTCCCTCAAATCCCAAGTAGATAGAGATCCAAAATCCGATTCAATCTAATTCGAAATAATAATTCTACTTTATAATTATCTATTTAATCTATCCATTATCTATTACTTCCAGGAAATTGATTTTGCAAGAGTGGACTTTTACGAAAGAACTGGATTATATCGTTCCATAATCCAGAATGGAGGAGCTGTGGTCCAAGGAGCAAGTACTATACGTTATAGGAGATTCATCAGGCCTTTCTCTAAATACAGGATTACATCTAAGGCAAATAATAAAAAAAAATATAAATCAACTAACACAGATCTAAAAATTACTCCCTAAAAATGCCTTTTGTATATCAGGTTATTTAGATCCAGTAATCATCAGTTTCTCTATCAGTCTATCTTTTATGTAACAATTCAATCAGAAGTTGCTCTATCAACTAATAAATCAATTTCTATTTAGATTATTAAAAAGGTATCTATTTGATCTATTTTTTTCCAGATTGTCTACTGGGACGACAAAAGCATTTTCATGGAACACCGTTTCATCAGTTGTTCTGATCAGTTTATTTTGGCAATTGCCATTTGCAGACAAAGGCTGATATCTTGTGATGCTCGTGATGCCATAGGACGACTTTTGGAGAATCCTTTGGCACCGGCTCCAAAAATACCCAATAATGAGTAAGAAATATTTATATACTAACTATAGCAAACACGACGAATTCCGTTTCGCCACCTGATGGTTTCGTGAGAAAGATGAAGAAATTTTTTGTTTGTTTTATATTTGAAAAGGAAAAATGTGATTTTATTATACAACAGTAATGAATTTATTTCGATTACAAAAATGAAGTGTTCTTAGTTGAACTTCTCTAAGTAAATGAAAGTGAATCCGCAAATTATCCGTTTTATTGAAGTGCTCTTTGGTAAACCACATTTTTTGTTTTTTGGTCTGACGTTAACACATAGAAAGCAGATGGTTTTCCAACTCGTGAACAGGCAACGTATAACTGCCCATGTGAAAAACAATGATTTTCTAAATAATCTATTTAAAATTTATCCCGCAAACACTAAGCGATTGGCCTTGCGACTTGTTATTGCGAACGCAAGGCGAACTGGAAATTGCAATCGTTTGAAGTCAAACGGAAGACCAGTCGGAATCATTGGTATGTCACCAAATCGCCAGCAATTTTTGATTGAATGGTGAAATTCAGTGCGTGTACATCATTATTCTTTGCGGCAAGAATTGCTCGTTGACTTAACCAAGCATAATTCTGATAATTCTCACTAATGTAATTACTCGAATTTTTAATTACGGTGCGTGAAGTTCCAGCAATTTCCATTAGAGCACGATGCCATGCACCACTAATTTTCTTAACTATAAACCTTGCGGAGCCCGAGACCTTTCCAACGAATGCAAAATTGTCGAAATCGGTTCGTGCGTTCTGGAGTTATTTCGTCAGGAAGGAAAACTTGACTTATTTTTATATATATAGAATATATAGGCAATTGCCAGAATTTAAAAAAAAAACTTAAATTTTAATTCTTATGATTAAATGACTCTTTGAATAAGTATAGAAATATTTAACTATTACGTATAAGATTGATGAAAATTTTGTTTTTTTTTTAAGAACTACCAAGCAGGGCAGTATCACTGTCGAAAAAAGCGTCAACTTGAGCAGCACTGATTTGGAAGCTGGCCTAGTTTCTTTAGATAACAAAAGTTTGGCCCAAAGCAACGGATCAATCATCATCAATGAAAAATATAAGCCGGCGATGCCATTGGAGGTAAAGATCCTTTCTTAGAATCTCTTTCTCTCTGGATCTAGTTTTGTTTCATTTTTTTTATACTTTTTTTTTCTCAGGTTGCAAAATGGATAGAATCGAACGAGATTTCCAGCGCCATCTTACGAAGTGGTTGCTGACAGTACGCTCCTCCAGGATCGGAGGCTGTTGAAGCAGATGGAGCTGCTGTTGGTCCGAGCACGCCACTGGTCAACCACCGAAAGTAAAGGGATGAAGTATGGAAGATCTTCGAGGAAAAGAATTAAGTATAATAATTTTATTTTTAGTTTAAGACTCTGGTCTACGATTTAGTTTATTGATTAAGTCCAGTGTGGAAAAGTGTATGGAATTTGTATCATTTATTTGAGGCAGGTTTGTGGTATGAGATGACAATTAGGGTATATCTGTTTCCTTTCTTGTTTATAGATCACTTCAAAATTCATTATCAAAATTTTTTCTTGTCCATTTAGACCTTCATCTTTTTTCACCAATTTAATTGGCCTTTAAACAGGACAGTTTCTTTACAGTTTTCACTTTAGACAAAAAAGTTTTTTTCCAGTATTTTTTTAGACAGTAGAGTTTCTTCCCAGTTTTCTTTAGACAGTAGAGTCTTTCTCCAGTTTCCTTCGGACAGCAGCCTTTCAAGTTTTCATTAGACATTAAAGTTGGAAACATTTTGCAGTACTTCTTCAATTTGCTGCCATCTCACATTTAAGTTCAAGAATTTCTAGTCCTTTCTTTTCTCTTTTGATGACGTCACAGAAAACATTTTTCTCCAAATATGGATTCAATCCAAATTTTTTAATCACACAATCATATCCTGCAAAGCCATTTCTTCTTCTACTCTTGGTATCACTTTAAATCATTCCTTTTCAGTCTATTTTATATCCAGGTAATTTCTGTTGGATTTTCTTAGAATACATTTAGATCAAAGTTACAATATATCATTTAGATCAAAGTATACGTATTCACCATCACGCTGGATGGAAAATTATTCGTCATTAAAATTCTATCAATTTTGTGTTTTACCAAAATCGACTCTTACAAATTTTCGTCTGGCTCTCACACTATATCATAAACTGCTACTTATTGTTAGATAGGTTCTAGGATTTTAAAAATTGAAAATAAAATTTTATAAAAGGACTTTATAAAATTTAAATTATCACAGGGCTTTTAATTAATTCAGCTATTTGCAAAATAGCGTTAGTTAAGTTGGCTATTTTAGAAAAAATGAGAAAAATTTACAAATCGAAATTATTTATAATATTTATAGATATTATGAAATATTCATATTAGCAAAGCTAATAGTATTTTTTGCCAAAAGGGTATAACTAGAAGTATTTTTGAATTTGATATATAATATAGAAAATATATTAATTACATAACAAAATTATATATGCATAAGTCAGATTTTTGTTCGACGTTGAATATATTTTCAGGATTTTCTCAACCAAACGATAAAACTTCAATTATTTGTTTTGTACGTTTCGATACTGCAAATGTGTCATCATTCAACAAGTTAAAAAAATTGTACAACTTAACAGATCACAAACAATTTTTTTTAAATAATTTGTGAAAATATATAAATTACTAAAATTGTGTTTTTAAATTTATATACATTTTATAGAACTTGCTGAATGATGACAACCATGCAGGTGTCGAAACGTACAAAAATAATACGACCATTTGGTTGAAATTTTTTTGAATATATATACTTAATATATTTATATAATAATTGTGATTATTTTTTTAAATAATATCAGAGTGATATCAAAATTTTTATATCAGACCAAACTTGAAAATTCTTTAATTTATCAATTTTGTTATTATAAAAAATATTTTTGGAAATTATTATAAGAAATAATTTGATCATAGAAAAAATCTTATTTTTGGGGAATAACATAAAAAATTATATTTTTACCATTCTAATCACTGCAAAAGAATTACTGCAAACGTTTCGTATTTCTTTGTCACAATCATCAGTATATCTGATTTAGATTGAATTGTAAAAAAAATCATGATAGATTTTTAAGTGTGTTTAAAATTAAAATATTGAAGTATATTATTGGAGACTTTAGAAAATTTTGAACTTTTGTTTATATTTGCCAATATTTTTAGAATTATTGTATAAAGTTCATAGCATACGTTTCGTATTTCTTTATCACAATCATCAGTATTTGATAAAATTAAATAGGAAAAAAATTCGGAGGCTGATGATAAATATTAGTTTTGTTATAAATTAAAGAAATTTAAACATTTTTGTTGGGAATAAAATAAATAAAAATAAATGAAATAGAAATATATATATATATATATATATATATGTATATATATATATGCAAAAATATTATCATACATTAATTTTTAATATATTATAAATTGCCTTATTAAAATATTGTTGATCTCTTCATAATAAATGTATGTAACTCTTTGCTCTCTAAAATTGAACTGGTAAATTACAAAAAAATCAGGATGATGTTAATATAATTATAATTGTGTTTTGAACTGGTAAAATCGGTCCAGGCGTACTCTTAAAATGAGAACAGAGTACAAAAGTGCTTTACCCTGTTTTAATGTTTTCCCCACTTAACAGAGGGTCTACTGTCCCGAAATTTTAAGCAACTGATTTTCTTATTATAATAACGTGTAATATATTTTTTTATTAATTATTTTTGTGAAAACATATTTGTGATGTAGTTGAAAATATATTTTATACGCGTATCATTTCATTTATTCAAATTAATGAGGTTTACTTTTTCTATATTATATATTCATATAAATTTTATCTAGAATTAAACCCAGGAGTAAATTTACGTGCTAAAGTTAGTGGCGCCTCTATCGAGAGGAAAAATAATTAAAATTTATGTAATGGAAAATTGGACGTGTTTGCAATCTTATCTATGATCTATATATAAACAGAAGAAATTTTTTTAAGGTATTCCATTTATTATTATGAGAGAATCCTTCAAGATGGATTTTTTGACAAATGAACTTTTTGTAGTCCTTATGTTCCAACAAAAAAAATCGTGGAAAATAAGAAATATTAAATAGATCACATAAGAATCCATTCTAGGTATTGAATCATTACAGATTATATATCCACTTTCGTTTTTAGCGATTTTGATAATTAACGACATAACTCGTTCTAGAATAAATTAGTGCTTATGGAATAAAACAATTTTTTAATATAGACACCAACAACAACAAATTGATTGACACATTTTTTTTCATCATTTGCACCATAATATTTTATTTCCTAGTAGGAAAGATTTTATAAAGTTCAGCCACAAGAATAGTATTTTGGGAAATGTCTTATTTTGCGACATGGCACACCTACTTTAGATTTAATCATTTGTTCAAGATCCAAAATAATAGACAGTTTTTCTACAAGTTTCTATTTCAGATTGCTAAGTTTCTTCTCCTCTCTTTCATAAATCCAAAAATCCGATCCAAAACAAATTATAGATAAAATCTTGACCAACAATTTTTCAAAAATTCTAATCATAACTACAATATGACATATGGGCAAAATATGGGTAAACTTAGATGAAAGTTCTATAACCACTTATAAAATTGAAAATCCATCACTAAAAAACTTTATCAACAAATATTATTATTTCCATTATTTATTAGTTTATGTATTTTTATTATTTTGTACTTAAATCCAGGGCTGTGTATTTAAAAAATTTATATCAATAATTTACTGATCCATTTTTAGAGAGTATACTTCTGCACAAAAATGCTTGTGAAATATATAGTTGTAATGAAATTGATGAATTTATTATTAATATTGAAATATATTTATTATTGCAAATGTAAGTTAAGATAAATATATATTAAATGACTAATTATATATCGATAAATTATATATAATGTAATATGTTGAAAATGTATTTGCAAAATATATAGATGTATAATTTGAAAAGTTTGGGTTTTATTTTTGGATTTTACAGATTTTGAATAAAATTCTCGGGTAGAATAGAAATGTTATGGATATAAGGTTTTTTGACAAATTATTAATAGAACTAGTGGTATATGGCATCGTGCCTTAAGACAAATTGCTGGAGCTTCCCGTGCCAAAAAAATATTTTTTTTTTTAAACTTTGAAAATATTAGATTTTTGAGAAATTTTAAATTTTTGACAAAAATCGACTTTTTTGAAATAAATGTTTTTTTTATTTTAAAATATTTTGGAAATTTTCAAATTTTTTTTCAAAGCATCGCAAGATTTTCAAATATCGAAGCGCGTAAGCGCCGCGTCGCCATAGTACGGACAAACGATGTTACGGAACCCATAGAAATGTAAACAAAATGTATACGTATTATTAAAATCTTAATAATTTTTTAAAATTTTTTTTACTAGATCTCCGAAACCGCTAGACCTGCCTTTCCAGTTTTTCATCTTGTCAATACAAGTAAAATGTTTTTTGAATTATTAAAATTGGAAGCTGCGTTCTCTTGAAAACTGAGTTACCGTTTTTGGCACTTTTTGCCCCGTATCTCCCAAACGATTAGACCTGTTTTCGTCAAAAACTAATCAGCTCGTCTCCTTATCAATAGGAATCAAATGTTGTTTGAATCATTGAAATCGATTGAACAGTGTTCCCGAAATCGTCGACGAAAATTTGCATCCGCACACACACATACATACACTCTTACACACACACACATCCATTTTTTCTAAGGAATGCCAAAATGTTCAGAAACTTCTAAAACGTGAAGATATGTAAAAAATTTCATTTTCGATTTTTGGCCCATTACTATAACTTACCCTACGAAAGATTAATAAAAAACAAACAAAAAATGACATTGAAAAAATTAATTATCAATTTTTTAATTACTTGAATAAATTACTGTAAATTTCTAAATTATTTATGTAAAAAAATATAATTTCATTAAAAATTAGATTCATAATGCATAATGTATTTAAATTTTATTATTTCTTTTCCAGTTCGACTCTGCATTTAAATGATTTGATTAACTCCAATTTAAAATAATAAGTGGTACCGATTTCAATTCTGTAAATAGTTCGTCCTTTGATTTCACAGTAGTACGTATATGAAAATGCTAGAAACACTTTCTCGATATTTTTATAAAAATACCTATTAGAAATTAATAAAAAAAAGTGTATTAATAATATAAATATAACAATTCAAGGTAAGTGCGCGCTATCCACTATTTATAATAATAAATGTAATCGATAACTAAATTGTATAGTAACTTACAAAACACATTTAGAAGTTGTTTTCTAATCCTAAATTTCTGATCCAGTTTTAAATTTATTTTTAAATTTTATTTTTTTTTTAATTTCAGATGATCATACTTTCGCTAGTAATGATCCTGATGACTCTGGTCTACGTCCACTACAAATACACATTTGGACAATTTCGTTGGAGACGTGTTCCCCACGAAAAGGGATTGCCCTTGGTGGGCAACATGCTAGATTGCATTTTGCAGAAGAGACACATCATTGACGTTATGCACGAAATTTATCAGTAAGATAAAGGACACACTCAAATAATAAATAGATTCAAAATTTATTTTATTTACTGATTTTTCTAGGAAGTTTCCTGATTTTCCCTATTTTGGTTTCTACCGGTTCTGCACACCAGTTTTCGTCATCAGAGATCTGCAACTGGCGAGGCAGATTCTGGTGAAGGATTTTAACTATTTTAAGGATACTGATTTGCATTGTACTGATGATGATATTCTTCTGAAGAAGAATATTTTTATGATGAAAGGAGAAAAATGGAGAGAGTATAGAGAGAAGGTTGCGCCCATGCTGTCTTCCGGAAAGGTTGGTGAAT